CAGATACCTGGGGATCCCTGTTTTTCTCTTTCTTGGTGTACCTCCTGAGGATGCCAAACAATTTTTTTAGTGTAAAAAGGACTCTGAATTGGGGAGCAGTCGTTTACACTTTAACATTGCTGTGGTGCAGGCGTGAATCTCCCATCCTTAGCTGGTGTAGCAGTTCCCCACCCGTGTCCTAACTCCCCTGCACTGTATTTGGCTGAGCAAGAAACTCTTGTTGGAGACATTTCCTCGCCATCTGGAGGACACTTGCAGCTGCTTTGGTTTCTAGCTTGCGGCGTCAGCACTGCGCAGGGTTACAGCCAGATTTGATTCTAGCTGTTGTGTCATGGGCTGATTCTCTCTCTAAAACTTCTCAGTTCCATTTGTTCCTGGGGCATAAGATTTCCAGTGTTACCTTTGGTGGGGATTTGGTTTCTGTTTTTCAGGGTGTGTTGAGTATCCTCCTGGCTGCTCAAAAGGAATGGCAAGTACTTGCCTCAGGAAACTTTGGAGGAACTATTTCTTGGTTGGTGGATCCTCGTCTACTTTCTCTGCTCTCTCTCTCTCTCTCTCTCTCTCTCTCTCTCTCTCTCTGTCTCCCTCCCTCTCTCCCCGTCTCTCTGTCTCTCTCTGTGTCTCTGTCTCTGTCTCTCTCTCTCTCTCATTCCCCCTGTAGTTCTTATTAGGTGTCAGAGATTCTAGGCTGATCTTTTATATTCATGTTCCCCCTCCCTTTTCCTCTCTTTCTGGGAGAATTCCATAACTTTACCTTCTGGTGCTTCATTGTAATTGTGTGTGTGATTGTGGGAGTGTGTACATAAAATGGGTAGATGTGTATGCATGTGGGTGGGTGTACATATATTTGGTTGGACACACACACACACACACACACACACACACACACGTATATGGGTGGATGTATATATAGTTGTGAGTATACATGTATGTGGTTGGACACACACACATATATACACACACATATGTATGTATACATGTATATGGGTGGATGTATATAATCATGGGTGTGTACAGGCATGTGAGTGTAGAGTTGAGAGATCGACTCCAGGTGGTTCTCTTATTGCTCTCCACCTTAATGTGTGAGACAGGTTCTTTCCCCTAACTAGGAGCTCTCTGACTCAACCAGGCTGGCCACCCAGAGGGCTCTAGGGACCTGCCTCTTTCAGGCTTTTCAGCCCTGAGATGTAGGCACATGCCACAGAGCTTAGCTCTTAACGTTGTGCTGGGAATTGACCTCAGGTTCTTGTGCTGGCTCATCTCCCTGGTCCCATCATTGCAATTTAAATGTTTACAGTTGTGTTTGTTGCTTCAAGAAGCTTTTTCTTGTTCTGTGTGATGATAAAATAAGTCCTTTTGGGCCTCATCTGTGGATGTTCTGTCTTCCATCATGTCACAGAACACTGGTGCTACTGGGGATAATCTCTATGGGGGTCTGCCATGTCTGAAGCCTTCATTCCACCTTGGCTATTGCCACTGTCACTCTTGAGTGGTTGCTGACCAGGTTTTCCTGTTCATGTTACATTGCTGTAGGATACTTAAGGGTGCCTGGCAGTTCCACAGGGAGACCCCATATGCCAAAGTATCTTGTTTCTTTCCTTTTCACTGGGTTTTTCCTGCAGGGTTGGACATTCGTTCATTGCCTACTGTGGGATGGGGTAAGTAGGAAAGGCACTCATTCCAGTCTGTTCCTGTTCTAGGAGCAGAGCCAGGAAAGGGGGATAGCAACCTCATCTTTCATGTAGAGTTTATCCCACTGTTTCTAGCTCTGGTTGGTGTTTCAGAATCTATTCCTCCTGCGAATGTCTCCCAGGGGTGAGGGCAGCATCTCCCCATGTCTCTCCCAAAGCTTCATGAGCATCTGGGCTTCCCAGGCTCAGGCCATCTTTGGAAAGGGCATTGACATTTCTCAACTGCTGTTATCTCTGTCCCCGCTTTCCCTCTGTTGGCCCTTGTGGACATTGTTCTCCTGAAACCAGAGCATTTTGTAAGGAGGAGGTAGAAATATCCGTTCAAGATGCCATGTTGAATCCCGAGTGGTCTTTTCTGAATGTTCCTCCAGGCCCAGAGGGAGGGCAAATACCCGTTAGGGGCCCATAAACCAAAAGCGTGGGAAGGAGACTTTGATACAACAGCACTGACAGAAGAAAAGAACCTGTGTCTCTAGTCCAGGCTGACCTGGAATTTTGTAGGGGGCCGTTTCCTGCATGCTCCATTACAATAATGGTGCCTAAAGACACCAAGATGTAAATTACTTCACAGGCGCTGGGTAATCTCCATTCCTTTGATCTCTGCCTATCCCGTGGCTCATTTTGGCCTGAGGAGCTGAAGCCATTCATAGGGTAACACGTCCCAGGCGGCTGGCCAGCCTTTATTAGGGATGGGTTTTCTTGGTTCAGAGTCTCCGCTCTGGTAAGCTTATGCTCTCCCCTCACAAGATGCATTAAAGCTTGTCTGCAGAAGGATCCGAGTGTCCTGCGTGTATTTCTTGCTGGCGAGAAAATACAGCGCGCGCGGGACAGAATTTGCTATGTAGCCAAGGGTGACTTTGAGCTTCTGACCCTTCTGCTTCTATTTCTCAAGTGCACACACATCACTGTGCCCCCCTTTACACTGTGATGGGGATTAAACCCAGGGCTTGATGCACACTGGGCATGCACCCTAACAACTGAGCCCACTCCCAGGCCTCATCCATTTTTGTTGTTGCTGTTGCTGAAAAAATTTTCGAGCCCTAAGATCTTTCTGAAACTGCTTGGTGGTGGGAATATAAAGTACATTATAGTCCAGCATCATCAGAGTCTGTGAGTGGCTCCAGGCTCAAAGGGTGAGATGACAGGGGTCCTGGCAGAGGGCACAGTGGCTCATGCCAGCCCAGGGTGGCAGGAGGCACTTCTGGGAGGAGGTGTCCCCAGAGCTAAGGGGTGAAGGCTGTGATTTCTGGATGTGAAACTAGGGGAAAGGCATTCCAAGCAGAGAGGCCCGTGGGTGAAGAGCGGGAATCTGAGACTTAAGAGTAGATTGAAGCAGCCAGGGCAAGGAGGACCTGGGGAAGCCACTTGGTTCCACTGTCTGTGCTAGGGCAGCCTGGGAAGCAGGGCCACACCAACGGAACCATCAACATCTTATTCCCTCTGAAAAGCTGAGTCAACTCAAAATATTAAAACGAGGGCAATTTGAAGATTGCAGAGAGACAAGATGTATTAAATGCTGGTTCAATGACAAGAATGGGACTGTTCTAGTTCCCAAATGACAAGCCACTTCCTGTCCACGTCTAGCCTCTAATGTCCAAACAGTTATGAAATAGGCCCTGGAAAAAGCTCACATTATTGAAATCTTGTTCTCCTATTCCTGCCAGCCAAGATTATTTACATATTATAACTGGGTCTCTTACCCCACCAGCGGATGCCGTGTTCGGGAGCTCTGGAGATATGTGAATTTTGGGTGACGTTTTGACAGGTCCTCAGCTGGCATAACTGAGGTCCAGCTGCTCTTCTGCCACAGTCACAGATTCGGCCTTCAGTAGGGCCCTGCCCCATCTTGGCTCCCATTGCCTCACTTGGCAAAGAGGAGGAATTAAATTAGATTTACCTTTAAGGTTTGTTCCCAAACAGAAATTGGATGCAGGCAGCTTTGGCTTTACAAAGACGAGCATTAAGAAAGGGGCAAGGTTTTATTTTATTTTGTTTTTTAAATAATGCTAAAGAGAGGAAGGCAATTCCTTTAAACAACTGATAAGCAAGCAAAAGGGAGATTGTTTTATCTCTCCTTACCTCTACCACCATATTTACAGCTTCAGATTCACAAACTCCACAGAGAAACACGTCTCTGAAGGCACACACATATCACAGACACCCCCCACACATATATGCCACACTACACACACCAACATACAACACATACATCATACACTATACATACTACATACAACATAATCCAACACACACACACACACACACACACACACGTTATAAAATGCATCAGATTCCATTAACTTCTGAAAAAGTTTGGAGAACAGCCCTTTTAAGAAGCCAACTGCTGTCTTGTCGAGATGTTTTCTGAAGCACTTAGGTATTTTGAACCTCTCCCCTGACGCCCCTCCCCCCAGACACACAAGTGATTGGAGCAATAACCTAAGCCCTCCGGACTGCCTGTTAAGTGATGACCAAGGAATCTGGGTAACTGTGAAGTGAGAATGCTATTTCTTTTTCCTGTTAGGGGTTCTCTAACTCCCTGAAGTGAAGGAAGTAGCTCGGGATGCTCTCCGAACAGGCTGTATGAAGCCTCGGGTTAGTGTCCTGAGCAGAGGCTGGACTGGGATCCCAGGAGAAGCTTTGAGAGCTTTGGGCTTCCCATGGCCATGAACCTCACTTCTCCCTCCTCAGATCTCAGACCACTGGCAGTGAATTGGCTGCAGTGGGGCCACCACAGACCTTTCAACGAGCCTCCAGAGGAGATGCGGCAGAGTGCTTGTGTCTGTCATCAGCTCCAAAGTCCTTGTGCCCTGCTGGCTTTGTGCGACTCCAAAAGGGCATGTGGAGGCTTTGAGTCCCCACTGCCTTAGCAACTTTTTATTTCAGCCAACCGTCTGTTCCCAAATGATCGGGCGGCTCCTGGTGCCAGCACCAGATAGATGTCTTGTTTCATCTGCATTTTATCTCAGCCCTCCCACACCCGAGAACCCCCCAGTGTTTTTACAGCTTTTTTGACCAGCGATTGAATTTGACATTGAAGTTGGTTTCTTTTCAGACCTGCTACCCTGTTTCAATAGACCCACTATTTTTTGGAGGGGTGCGTGCGTGCGCGCGTGTGTGTGTGTGTGTGTGTGTGTGTGTGTGTGTGTGTGCGCGCGCGCGCGCGCGCACGCGCGCGCGTGTGTGTGTGTGTGTGTGTGTGTGTGTGTGTGTGTGTGTGCGTGTGTGTGTGTGTTCGAGGCCCTACTGTGTGTGAAGCCCTGATTGGTGGTAGTGTCACATACAACATACATTTTCATAAAGTCTTACCTTGAGGCTTCAGATAAATGTGGCTCCTTTTTATTGGCTGCCTATTTCACTTTGCTCCTCTCTCTCCTTCTCCTCTCTATCCTTCTGTGTCATCTCTCTTCCTCTGTGGTTTCCCACTCTTTGGGGAGGGGCAGGATTTCCTGCTCACAAGTTGGTTGGTTTCTGGGAGGAGTCAGAAGACCTGGTTCAAGACTGAAACCAGCTGGTCTGCCACATGACACAATGCACGTGAAACCAAGCCCCAGGAAGAGGGCCCTTCCCGAGGACCCCGCCTGCAGTATGGAGACACCTGCAAGAGGGAGCCAATTCAGGCATAAGTGTCAGGTTCCCCAAAGGACAGGGGGACCCCAGGAAGCCTGGCATGGAGATGTTGGAAGTGGTCTGGGTTGCCCTGGGAACTTTCCCGTTACTATTGTTAGCTCTAAACTTGGTGGAAGCAACTCTAGTAGAGCCATGTCCCACCCGAGCAGGTGCTCACTTTGTAGTCTTGGCTTTGCCTCAGAGGAAGTTACTGAAACAAAAACTGTGTTTGAGCAGTTTTTTCTTTCCCACCAGGAGAGACTCTAGTAACCCAGTGCTTTCCATAAGGCCTGTGTGTCTACCCCAACTGTAGGTGAGTTTCAGACCCTCACAATAACCCACAGCAGTTAGGGCTGAGAGTGGATGAAGGAGACTCAGAGGAGCAGGCACTCCCATTAGCAGAGACAAATAACCCCAGTCACACACACAGACACACACAGACACAGACACACACACACACACACACAACACACACACACGAACACGAAGGGAGACACACACATAAGCACAGACACACACATGCACACAAACATACACACACACACACACATACATGCAGAGACATACACAAAGACACACATATGCACACACACAGAGACACACATGCATGTGCAGACACCCAGGCACACAGACACACATGCAGATACACACACATGCACACACACATACATGTAGACACATACAGACACACAGAGACATACATGTAGACACAGACAGACACGCACACACACACACACACACACACACACACACACACACACAATGTTCACTTTCTTACTATTTGTTTTTTCACATATTCAACTGAGATTTGAAGAGCACCTACTTGGTCCCAGCACTGAGCCATGTTACGATCAGCTCTTTTCTTGAGGATGATTTAGCACAATCACACACTGAGCACGGGAGTTAACCAGCATGGAGGCACACACTGGATGCTGCAGTGTGGGGTCCTGACCTCGATCACTGGGCGATGATGTCTCTTGTGAGGAAGGGTCCTGAATGGTTTGGGGACAGCTCACTTTCTCCTTCCTAGCCAACAAGAGCATTGGCTTTTTTCAGTGATGCTTCTTACAATATCCAGTTCTGAGAGGCTGGGGACTTCATCCTGCTTTCGTTTCAGGGGCCAAGTGCCTGTGAGTGGTGTCTGGGCTTCAAGGACCCTGATTTAGTACCCTGGAACACACATGAACACGACCGTACACACGTGGAACAGCGCCATCCATCCAGTGCTCCTGGAACACACAAGAACACGACCTTACACACGTGGAAGAGCGCCATCCATCCTGTGCTCCTGAAACACACATGAACACATCCTTACACACGTGGAACAGCGCCATCCATCCAGTGCTCCTGGAACACACATGAACACGACCTTACACACGTGGAAGAGCGCCATCCATCCTGTGCTCCTGAAATACACATGAACACGACCTTCCACATGAGGAAGAGGTGTCATCCATCCAGTGCTCCTGGAATACAGATGAAAACGATCTTCCACACATGAAGGCAGCCACTCCCACTCAGCATGACCGATAGCCTGCCCCAGAATTGCCCACCCTTGAGGGTCAGCTTGGCAATTCACTTGTCCTTATCTCCACCCATTCCTATCAAACATGCTTACTTTTATGTATCAGATTTAAGACAGCCAAGAGTAGATTTACAAAACCTATAAGACAAGACTTAATAATAGAGACAAAAAGCAAACTGAGAAGCCAGGCTGTGGTGGTGCACGCCTTTAACCGCAGCACTCGGGAGGCAGAGGCAGGTGGGTCTCTGTAGGGCCAGCCTGGTCTACAGAGTTACAAGGAGAAACCCTGTCTCGAAAAAACCAAAAATAAATAAATAAATAAGCAAAGGAAAACGAGTGGTTAAACGGCAGAAGCATTAGCCAAGTGGAAGACTTCTAGCTAGGTGTGGGGCACATGCCTTCAATCCTCATGCTTGAAAAGCTGAGGGAGAGGAACCCTGCTCAAGGTCAATCTGGCCACACAACTGATTTGATGCCTGTATCAGTTACTTGTCGGTTGCTGTGAGGAAACAGAATGGCCAAGGCAATCTGTAGAAGGAAGTGTGTATTTAGGCTCAGGGTTCTAGACGGATGAGCGTCCATGATGACAACAAACAGTAGGCCTGGGGGCAGGAACAGAAGCTGAGGGCAGGCATCTTCAAACACAAGCAGGAGGCAGAGAGCTCAAACGGGAAACAGGTAAGGCTTTATACCCTCAAAGCCCACTTCCAGCAACACACTTCCTCCAGGAAGCCTTCACCTCCCGAACCTCCCCACATAGCATCTCTAACTGGGGGTCAGATGTTCAGAACCCTGAGACCATCATTTAAACCACCACAAGGCCATACCGGATTACTGTCTCAAACAGGCAGTGAACCTCTGAAGCAAAACAAAAGGTCGAGTGGACTACGTACATATACCAAGACACAAGTTGAATTAGCTAATAACATGCTCCCCACCCAAAGTGTCAAATGCTCTTATGCAGAGATGTCTGTTTGGTTACTCAGTGGGGGCGCCTCCTAAACAAAACGTCTAAGGATCTTACATGTGAAAGTCTGGATGTAATTATCAGAAAGTGCACCCCTAAACCGACTAGTAGAACTCAGTTTACTCGTTGAGATTTAATAGCCCAGATTAGAAATGAAGACAAATAGCATTTAGGCACAAGGGACCCAGATAATATGCCATGTGGTCCAAGGGTCCTCTGAAACACTCCCAAATGGGCAGACTCTCCAGGATTGTCAAAGAATGTGAAACCATCATTTGACGTATGAAATAAAGTTTAAAGGTGAGTGGCTTACTGTTTACAGTGAGGATGAGCTCTACTGATCAGACTACTGGGTTTAACAGTAGAACCCTTTGGAAAATGGGAAAGTTGGTCACAGGTATACCTTTCCAGGCTCAAGTGGGTCTGCTGGGTGTTACTTGTTCTGATATGATAGCAAAATGCTTGACACAAGCAAGAGAAGAAATGGCTTACTTTGGCTCGAAGTTGGATGATGCAATCCATCTTGGCAGGGAAGTCTCTGGAGCAGGAGCAGGAGCAGGAGCAGGAGCAGGAGGAAGCTCACTCAGAGTCAGGAAGCAGAGAGGTGAGTGTCAGTGTTCTGCTGGCTCTCTTCTTTCTCTTTTATACAGTTCTGGTCCCCAGTCCACCTCAGTGAACAACCTCAAGACTCCCTCAGGGACAAGTCCAGGATGTGTCTCCTGTTCTGTGGTTATAAAACCGATTTGTTGTGGACTTGCATTCTCATCGACTCCCATTAAGTTTCAGTTTGTTTCAGTGCCTAGCTCTGTGGTAGGTCTTTCTCGTTGTACTTTCTTTGGACCCCCTCCCCCCCAAATAATGACACAGAGACTTACTATTGATTAGAAAAGCTTTGCCTTTAGCTTAGACTGTAGGCGTGTTGTCTGTAAACCTGTAACGGTGGCCACATCCCTTTGGGTGTGGCTTCAGACAGATGGGCGTGGAAAGAGGGAAGCTTGAGGCGTGCCTTCTGTTTGCACACTCTGGTGGGTCAGTGGATCTGGTAGGAAGGGCAGAGAAATGCTCCTGTGGTTCTTTTTTTTTTTTTTTCTGTGTGTTTACCAATAAACACCCATTTATCATTTATCTTGGGTCTAGTGAAGTCATTACAGCCTTGCGTTCAAGGCTTGTTTCCAGCTAGCTTTTATAACTTAAGCTAACCTGTTTCATGGCTCTCTACCCCTCCCCCATTCTGTACTTCTGACTCCCTCTGTGTCTCCCTGGTGAAATCCCCTGTGCCAGATTCTAACCTCTCCTCCATAGCTATTGGCCATTCAGCTCTATATTAAACCAATCAGGTGTCTTAGGAAGGCAAGGTAAAATAGCGACACATCTTCACACAGTGATAAAATACCCAGAAGCATTTTTCCTTTTTTTTTTGTCTAAATAAAAAGGAAAGATTTTCAACTCTACTAGAGTAAAATTATATACATTAAGAACAATTATCAGGTAAGAATTACTTTTGCAATGTCCAGTCCCTGTATTTGGCAAATTTGAAGAAATTACTCTGTTATCTATCCTATCTTGATGAGCCCAAAGTTTTATACCTAAACCACTTTCTTTCTACCTTGTATTGCCATCCTAAAAATATCTTTTTAGACCTTAAAAACAATTTCTTAGATAAACAACTTGAGCTTTTATGTCCCTTAACCTTATACATTTTACATCTCTTTTGTAAGTTTCTTTTTTAAATTTGGTAACAAAGAAAATGGTATAGTAGTCTAATCCCATCAGAGACCCAAGAAGGATGTAATATTGCCTGAGTAAACAGGAGGTACAGAACAAGCAACTTCCAAAGCTATAGAAATGACAGAAAGAGCTGGCTGTCTGGACAGCCACCCAAGGTTCCTCTGCAATGTTGGGGCATCCATTTTCAGTCTACAGTCCTAGCCGACAGTTATTTTCTGTGAAGCAGGAATTTGGAAGGACTGTCCCATCTTGTCTTGGCAAAGTTTGGCAGTTGCCGTCTTTTGTGTCCTGCTTTTCCAATTTGGATAGCATGCTATCAGCAGTCAAGGCAAGGGCAGTTTCTTGCCCAGTGGCTAACTTTGGCACAATGAAAGCAAACTCCATATGGAGGTTCTTCAATGCCCATCATCTCTGAAATAGATTGGTGCTGCCAGGAGCAGACATGTCTCACTGTCATTAAAAGCCTTATGTTATTAAAACATCTTAAATGACACAGTCTGTAGGTCTCTGAAGAGTTTTAAGGCCATCTATCTATCTAAAATATGTTTCTGTTTGACCTTGAAAACATTCCTATCATGGCAACATGTTTGATTATTACAGATGACTAACTCCTAACCTGCATTTCTTGATTATCCTAAATAGTTTATAATAATAGCTTTCAAGGAACTAGAACTTCACATTATATTTTAAATGAGCTGCATAGGTACAATACCTTAAACAAGAGTAGAAACACATATACAGTATGTTATAACAAAAATAACCTTAAATTTGTATCAATATATACAAATCCACACCAATGTAAAATATTTGAGACTAGTAGTTGCCTTTTTAGTTTAAAAGTATATTTAATATTCCTGCCTTTTATCCCGTCATTCTTTTTTTTTTTTGAGACAGGGTTTCTCTGTGTAGCTTTGGAGCCTATCCTGGCACTCGCTCTGGAGACCAGGCTGGCCTCGAACTCACAGAGATCCTCCTGCCTCTGCCTCCCGAGTGCTGGGATTAAAAGTGTGTGCCACCAACGCCCAGCTATCCCATCATTCCTATACCCCCTTTTTTTCTTCAAAAAGAGATCCCTGAATCTAACCTCCTTTGCTTAGTTTCCTCCCTGACCATTACCAATAACAACTCACAACTAACCCACTCCAAAAAGACAAACATGTATAACCACCTACCCCACCTCTTGGGAATATGCTTATCATGTTCTCTAGGCTGCTTCCTGTTGTGAGGGGGTAATGGCATCTTTGGGGACCCTGAGAAAATTGGGATAATGGAGAAGTCCTGGGAGAGCTAGCTGTATCATTTGTTGTCAGTCTGTCTGTAATGAGAAAGTTCGGGGCTTATCTGAAGGTCTGGCTGGAGCAGTCTATGAGGCTGGACCATCTCAGCTAGCAGTTTTGAAGTTATTCTGGATGCAGATTTTTGAGGAAACTGTAACAGGCATTCTGAGAGTCTGGATCACCTAGGCTACTTGCCTTCATTGGTGTCTGTTCCCCCTTTCCCCCTGAAAACACACAAACTTTGAAAGGTAGCATACTTACCTTCATTAACAAGTGTGAATGTACAGTGTGCACAAGTCAGCTAAGGATGATTTTCTGTTTTCTGTTTGAGCAGGTAAAAGGCATTTGTCAACTTTATAAGTCCATTTGGACTGCGTAGCCAAACTGAATATAAATCCGTGAAAGGACAGCATGTAATAATTAGTCATGAGGACTCCGTAGCCAACAAGATTTATCATGTCTCATCCAGTCTCAGGAACTGTTCCCATAGCAGAGAGATCAGCATATACATCACCTATCTTGTAGTTTTTTCTTCTTTTCTTCCTTTATGTCTGCAATCAAGATTTTTAAGAGGTCTCCTCCAATTAAATCTGGTCTTTATTAATTTTGAAGGAATTCATAGCTTTTTGTTTCCTATGGAAGCAAAAGCATAACCTCTCCCCCAAAGGAACACATTTCTGGACTTCCACTCTAAAGTCACGACATCCTTATTGTCTGTCTGTCTGTCTGTCTGTCTGTCTATCTATACGTTTAATTTAGTAGCTTTTTCACAATCCAATATTTTTCAGCAGCTATTGTTTTTTTGTTCGTTAACATTTAAAAGTTTCAAAGTTAACAAAGCTCCATATAGGATCCAGACTCCTCGTGTATTTCCCATCTTTATGTGACTTATTCTTCTTGTATTACTTTACTCTTTCTTTAAAGACTTTTTATTTTTAAACTATTTTTGTGACTGTCTTTATTATTTTCTTTAGCACCTAAGCATATTTTCAAGCATACTATACCTATTTAGAGGTTTTCTTAGCCACGTGAACCAAAGCTTAAACTACTAGGCTACCTGCCATGTGGTTCTACTTAGCTCATGGCACTGGTGGCTGGCTTTGACCCCCCCTTGGGTGGGCGAGAGCCAAGCCTCATGCCCCTGGGCCCTGTCTGGGAGTCACATTTACTCACCCCGGCTCTGGGAAGTTCCTGGGTTTGTGCTGCGGCAGGCATTTCTATCTAGAATCCCATTCTCTCTAGGATTCACCTTTTAGGTGCTCAGCTGCTTAGTGGGGCCTCTTAGAGGAACTGTGACTCTGGACACCACAAGTAGGGGTTCTGTGTCCAGGGCTTTTTTCAGTTTTCTCAAACCCTGTGTTTGGGTGTATGGGCCTTGGCCTCCACGTTGGATGCCAAATGTATCAGGTCTTTATTGTCGGACTGTTTTGGATCACCATCCCCCAAATAATGACACGGAGACTTATTATTAATTATGCCCTTAGCTTGGGCTTGTTTCCAACCAGCTCTTAAGTTAACCTACATTCTAAATTCATTAAGTTCATCTACATTCTGCCACATGGCTCTCTACCCCTCCTCCATTCTGTACTTCTGACTCCCTCTGTGTCTCCCTGGTGAAATCCCCCACACCAGATTCTAACCCAGAGTTCCTACCTCTGGCTGGAGGTCCCGTCTAACCTCTCCTTCCTAGCTATTGGCCATTCAGCTCTTTATATACCAATCACGTGTCTTAGGCAGGCAAGATGAAACAGCGACATGTCTTCACATAGTGTGATAAAATATCCAACAACTCTTTCCCATTCAGTTTCAGTTTTCTTGAGTCCCTGGCTCCAGTCTGGTGAATTATTATTATTATTATTATTATTATTATTATTATTATTATTATTTATGCTGGCCCTATGTCATCAACAGAACCAACAAGCATTCCTCTGTCATCTTTCCTAGGTTAGTGTTAACAGTGCCAAATAGAATAAGACCAAGAATAGTTTTTGTCTCTGTGTGGGGTAAGGGGCTTGTTCGGTTTGCCCATGACCAAATGTCTCAGGAGACCACAGAAAAACTTGCTTCTGTTGTGATTAAGCAACCTCTTTCCCTCTGTGAGCATCGTTGTGGGACAAATCTGCTTCCCCTGCTGAGTGCAGCTGAGACACTAAATCAAATGTCTATGGAATTGTCACGATTTCCAAACCTCGATGATTGGTGTGAAAATGAAGAAGACATGGTCCTTCCCCTCAGGAAGGTCATGATACTAGGGACAATGCCTTGAGAGGAAGGTCTGCTAGCATGGGCCAGCAGGAGACTTAGACTTCACACGTGTAAGATTCTGAGGGCTGAAAAGATTCCAGCAACTCAGGCTGGCAGACTGCACGGTGAAGGGGAGAATCTGCCAGAGACGTTACACTGTGTCCTGGATGAGTTAGTGTTATCTGCATGCTTGGACAGTGGTGTTTTTATACATAGCCAAACCCTCTGAGGATAGACACAACATAACCTTCACACACACAAAAACAGCCAGAGCACATAGTTTGATACATAGTTTACAGATGGGCAGAAAATTTGAAATCCTCAGAGGACTGAGGTATATTTTCCTCAGAGATATTTAGAATGTGGGTGTGAGGAGATGTTATTATCAAAGAGAGAGAGAGAGAGAGATTATCAAAGGATAGAAAAGGAACCGGAGGATACCAGTGTCCATGCTGGGCGGCCTGCAAAGGCAGACTAGAGGTAGACAGAAGCTGGGTCACAAACCGCTAAAGTCAAGTAGGAGTTTAGTGTCTGGCACTTTCGGTGGAGGAACAACAAGGCAAGAGGTACTGCGGGGGACCAGGCTGTGAGGTGATGTAAGAGATGAGCTAGGCAAGGTGTTGAATGGGTAGAGGAGCAGTCAGCCCGTGGAAGAGGCATCTGGAAGTGACTGAAGGGCTGGACTGGCTGAGCTCCAGGCGGCTCTGGGGCCATTAAGGCTGGACTCTGCCTTAACCCAGGGTCAAGTATCTGCATTTGGAAACAGGAAGAACCCTGGTGTCACTGACATGCTTTCCGCCTGAAGCTTCCAACATGTCCTTTCTTTCGTTAGCCACCCACTGCACTTTCCTTGGGGATGTTAAGGAGAGATTTTAGGGAGAGCTGACAGTTGATCAGAGCCAGAAGCACCACCAGGGGTTTGAGACCCAAATGGAATGGAGGTGTCTGTGTGTAAGGGTAGCTTGGGAGGATGGAGAGTCAGGGTCACGTGCTCACAATCTGGTCAGAGTAGGTGACATTAAAGATCCTGGGGGAGTGGCATCTAGAGGCCTCAAGTCTGCTCAGGTCTTTTCTCTAAGCTATAGCTTTTCACTAGTCAGAGCCTCTGCTCCCCACCAGACAGCCGGTTCCTTCCTCTCCCTTCTCTTCCCCTCTTCTGCACTCTTTCTCCTTTCTTCTATCGCTCTCATTCTCTCTTTTCTTCCAGTTTTCTCCCCTCCCCTCCTCCGGTCTCCTTTCCCTTCCCTCCTCTCTCTAATAGTTAAGCAGAGATTAGCCACAAGAATCACCAGCACAAAGGGGTAAATGACAAATCATATTTTCTTTGCCCCAGAAATTCAGTGGTTCTCTCTCTCTCTCTCTCTCTCTCTCTCTCTCTCTCTCTCTCTCTCCCCTTTCTTTCTCCTTTATCTCTTTCTTCTTAGGTCAGAAGTGAGTCTATCTTGTGATCTCAAAACACAGCTTTGACAGTGACACTCTTCTGTGAGAAGACCTGTGCCAAGCAGCATGTGTGAAGCAGGGCTAACCACAGTGCTGGGTGAGAGGTTCACCACACCTCCCAAGAATTAAATGATGCGATAGAATATAAAATGTTTTTATTTCAAAATGAAAAAAGGTAGTCATTGTAATAATAAAATAATAACAACAATAAAAACAACAGTATAAAACGCAAGTCTTCTTCCCTAATGCAAAGTGATAGCTCCTCGATCGCTCCCCACAGCCTTGGACAAACACAGTGCGTGCTGCATAGCAGCAAAAGTCAATCCCAGACCCCTTGGGTGATCTGTGCAGGGTCAGTTCTGGATTCAGCGGCTTCTCCTCGGAACGGCACATGACTCTGCTCTCTCCCACCAGAGTCATGATTTCTCTATGTCTCTGTCTTTGTCTTCCTCCCTCCTCTGCCAGTCACCGCCTTAGGAAGCATGCTGTCTGAGGGACAGGGCCCGGTTGCACTGGGTC